CTAGAAATGAGTAAGGTTGTGTGACAACAATGAAAATAAATTGCTGCCTTGCCAAGTTTCTGTGCTCCATGCAGTGAGCAGTGAGAAGGCCCACGTTCACAGAAAAGTGACAGAAAGCTCTGGGGAGCCCCTATCACCGTTCAATTGAGGATACACCAAAAGATGGGTGCTGACAATGATTATAGCATGTGCAAGCCATCAGAACCTACACAATCCAGACACCCATCCAGCCCAAAGAATTGACCATGTTCTCCACCAAATGCTTCCCTGTCACTCAAAATAAATTACAGACTAACAGAAGGACAAGGCTCCAGGAAGGAAGGGGATTGAGACCCAGATTCCACTTACACTGTCATATAATGCAGCTTGGAATTGTATTATATGGTAAAGTGGAAGAACAAAACATCCTTCCAGTGTCATGGTCTGATCACTATCTGGTCAGCTTTAGGCTCGCTGCGACCCCCAGCCTTCGCAGGGGTGGAGGACAAATTAAGATGGTCCGCCCCAGGAGACTGATGGATCCGGATGGATTCCTGAGGAATCTTGGGGTTCTTCCTGCCATGGAACCTGGCGATCCTGTTGACGCCTTGGTCGACCTTTACAATAGGGAGATGTCCAGGGCGATAGACACGATCGCTCCCGAACGCCCCGTCTCGTTGCGTCATGACAGGCCGTCTCCTTGGTTTACCGAGGAGTTGGCTGTGATGAAGCACACGAGAAGGGGGCTAGAGCGCAAGTGGAGGAAATCTCGGGACGTGTCTGATCAAGCACGGGCTAAGGCCTCTCTTAAGGCATACTCCGTGGCTATACGGGTGGCCAGGGAATCTTTCACGACCGCCTGGATAGCGTCTGCAGCAAATAGGTCATCAGAGCTGTTTCGGGTTGTCGGGGAGCTCCTTCACCCATCTGTGGTGGACGAGATCTCTGACGACCCAGCAGCTCGGTGTTGCGATTTCGCACACCATTTTGCAGGCAAGGTTGCCCAGATATGTCTTGAGCTCCAATTTCATCGCAGTGCCAGAGGAGGTGACTGAGGCATCTGCTTGTCCAATTTTGTGGGATTCCTTTCGGCTTGTTCTTCCTGAGACCGTGGAGGAGGTTCTTGGTGCTGTGAGGGCGACCACTTCGGCTCTAGACCCTTGCCCATCCTGGCTCATTAAATCTGCCAAGAAGGGGTTGGTTGATTGGTTTGTGTTGATCATTAATGCATCGTTGGAGCAAGGGATTTTTCCATCTAACTTGGAACAGGCTGTGGTTCGTCCACTCCTAAAAAAGTCGTCCCTTGACTCTATGGTGCTGAACAATTACAGACCAATCTCCAACCTTCCTTTTTTGGGTAAGGTGCTGGAGCGGGTGGTCGCCCTCCAGCTCCAGGGCTTCCTGGATGACATCAATTACCTGGATCGGGCACAGTCTGGTTTCAGGCCTGGTCATGGCACCGAGACAGCCTTGGTCGCCTTGGTGGATGACCTCCGTAGAGGACTGGACAGGGGGAGTGTAACCCTGCTGGTCCTCTTGGAGATCTCAGCGGCTTTCGATACCATCGATCATGGTATCCTTCTGGGTTGGCTCTCTGGGATGGGTCTTGGGGGCACGGTTCTGTCGTGGCTCCGGTCCTTCCTGTAGGGACGAAACCCAGATGGTGAAGATGGGAGATGCCTGCTCGGAGCCCTGGCCTTTGACCTGTGGGGTCCCGCAAGGCTCTATTTTATCTCCCATGCTTTTTAACATCTACATGAAACCGCTGGGAGAGGTCATCCGGAGTTTTGGAGTTGGGTGCCATCTCTACGCAGATGACGCACAACTCTACTACTCTTTTCCACCTAATTCCAAGGAGGCCTCTCGGGTGCTAGACGAGTGCCTGGCCGCTGTGTCCATCTGGATGAGGACGAACAAGCTGAAGATCAATCCCAACAAGACAGAGGTCCTCCTGGTCGATCGCAAACCAGACTGGGGTATAGGGTGGCAACCTGTGTTGGACGGGGCTACACTCCCCCTGAAGCCACAGGTACGCAGCTTGGGAGTCCTCCTGGACTCATCGCTCACGCTTGAGGCTCAGGCATCGGTGGTGGCCGGGAGGGCTTTTTCACCTCTAGACTGGATTACTGCAATGCGCTCTACGTGGGGCTGCCCTTGAAAATGGCTCGGAAATTCCAATTGGTCCAACGGGCAGCAGCCAGGATGTTAACGGGGGCCCATTACAGAGAGAGGTCAACCCTCCTGTTTAAGGAGCTCCACTGGCTGCCGTTTATTTTCCGAGCCCAATTCAAGGTGCAGGTGCTTACCTACAAAGCCCTGAACGGTTTGGGACCACCTACCTGCGTGACCGCATCGCTGTCTACGAACCCACACGCTCACTCCGGTCATCTGGGGAGCAAAGCAACTCATAGTATGAGTAAGAACCGCATCACAGTCTACGAACCCACACGCTCACTCCGGTCATCAGGAGAGGCCCTGCTCGTGATCCCGCCCGCGTCGCAGGCGCGTTTGGTGGGGACGCGGGACAGGGCCTTCTCTGTGGTGGCCCCCGCCTCTGGAATGCCCTCCCGAAAGATCTCAGACAGGCCCCTACTTTGGCGGTTTTCAGAAAGAACCTGAAAACCTGGCTGTTCCAACGTGCCTTCTCAGATTAGGAACCCCACTACTAAAGCCCAGAAGCCCAGAAGTAATAATAATAATAATAATAATAATAATAATAATAATAAATGTAAACACAACTAATACAGTTCAGTGCAGTTTAAATGCATTATATGAGACTACATTGACTGTATTATATGGTCAGTGCAAATGGGGCCCCAGACAAGCACCAGATCCAATGGCAGACATGGCTCTGGAAAGTGTTCAAACTGATGTCCAGGAATTTTCCTGGAAAACCGCAAACCTGGACTATATTAAGTTCTGTACTTGTTTTTCTGCTTCACAATTACTACTTGCATTTTATTTATTAGTATGGCTTCATCTCCTGTTGGCTTTTTCCCTTGAAGAGTCCCTCCCTCTCACTCTGCCCACCCACCCTGCCATGATGGGTTGGCCTTACATCACCATCATGGCTACAGATCTGCCTGGACTAGGATATGAGTACAGAAACACACATGGGAACACGCTGGTTTTTCAGAAGTTTGGGACTATAATTCAAACAACCCCCCACCCTTGGTAATTCTAAGTCATGCATTGGGCATACTGGTTGGGCGTTGAAGCCCAAATCATCTTGAAGGCCAAACATTCCTCATCTTTGTATTTTGAGATTCAGTCACACACACACACACTCCAAGTGCCCAGATAACATCTTTCACGTTCCATGTGTCCTCTTCCAAAAAAATATTGGTCATTTGGGCAATATTTCAGAGAAAATGCTAATCCTTTTTCTTTTTTTGGTCTCTTTAAATATACACACACACACACACACACACACACACACACACACACACACACACACATACTAGGCCTGGGTAACAACGGAAAAATTTGTTTCTAAAATCGATTCGTTTTTTGGGGGGTTTTGCGTTTCGATATTTAAAAGAATTCCGAAATTTTACTTTTAAAAAGTTCGATATTTACGAAATTTCGTAAATGTAAAAAAAATATTACGAAACATTAACGAATCGATTCGTTAATGGCGGACGCGACCGCGCAATACGCTAAAAAACCTCCAAATGGGACAGGGGGAACTTCTGAAGCTTCCCTCTCCCTCTGTTGTTGACTGTTGGTGTGATATTATAATTTTTTTCACTAATTAAACAAAAAACAACTATAAAACTTGCCCCAGACATGCGGAAATAATAACGAAACGACCTCAAACCGATAACGAAACAAATACATAACGAATCCGAAGCATTTACGAAACGAATTTAAAAATTCGTTTCGTTTTTAAGTTGCTCCAGAATGGTTCGTTATCGCTTCGTTATAAAAAAAAATAACGAATTACGAATTGATGAAACGAAACCGCCCAGCCCTAATATATACATTTGTAAATAGGTATGTGACCTACTTGCACTCAAGAGAAATAAACACAGTACAAACTTCAACACAAGAACACAATTATTCTGGAAATTGTAGTGGGGGAAATATGTCCTAGCATCAATCATTATTTCTTTTCTTGCTATTGGGGACATAAATGACCCATAGCTACAAGGGATGAAAAAGAATGAATGGTGCCTTCTTAACCTTTTAGGCATCAAAGCATTTTTATATTCCTCCTTATTGAATTTCCCATTCTACTTTTATATATTATTTGCGATCATCCTAGATTTTAGTCCAGGAACTTAATTTAGTATGTCTTAAATATTAGTATCATGAAAACTATTCACTTAAACTAATTCTTCCATGCTTTGTTAGCATCAGAGTTTATCATTTACTGCATATGCAAACTGTGACAGATGGGCGGGTACCTTGCACTCATGAAACAAGTATTAAGTACTTTCAATTTGACTAATAATACTGCCATCCACATAAAAGAGCACACATTAATTTCTGAAAAATTGGGAATTATCTAAAAGGAATGTGGGAGGGGGAATGCCTCTAGCAACACCTTTAAGACCAATTGACTTATTTTAGCATGAACTAAATCCAAGTCCTGAGATACACTGATGTAATTAATATCAATGCAGCAGTCACATCACTATTTAACCCTTGCAGTTATATCCAATAGTTAAATAAGAGTATAATACAATACAGAAGGATACAAATTGAAACTTTAGTTATTTCAAAAAGCTTATGTGAGAGGATCTAGGTCTGTCAAGCTGGCAATAATATTGAGATGTGAGAGCAATAAAAGTAAATTAAATAGTTAAAATGAGCACAGGCTCTGTTCCTATAACTCACCTTCACTTGATTATTTCTCAGTTCTAACTTTCCTCTCTTGGTTTGCAACACATACCTCATTTTCAAGGTACAGAATTCAAAGTAGATCCCTTTCCGCTGAAGGTTATTAAGTGATTTTACCAATTAATAAAACAACATATTTTGTGCAAACTCTTTCAAGTTTAACTTAAGTTTTTTACCTTTAGATAGGATCCATAATATTTGGTAACATATGGACTATCGCACTGACTCAGGACGGTGATTTCTTGTTGAATGTCTTCTATTTCATCTTCAGCCTCTTCGAGATCAATTATTTTTATTGCAACTACTTTTTGAGTTCGATTGTCAATTCCTTTGAAAACTTCACCAAATGAACCTTTGCCAATCTTCTCTAGTTTCGTAAACAGTTCTTCCGGATCTGCTTTCAGATTCTGGCAAAAAGAAAATGATAATGTTGATATAATGTAGTAAGTTATGCTGCAGCACAGTCTACTATTCCAAATAATGCTGACTGACTTTTAAAATGACCCTCTATATTACAAGGTTTGGGAGGAAAATCAATCTATATTCAATGACTCCCATGAGAAACTAAAATATAGTATCAATTAAACCAAGACTAGTTTAGTAATTTGGGTGTTAAACAAGGTCTCTCAGGAAACAAGAATTCAAATCCACATTCGGCCATGGATATCTAATGGTGACCTTGGGCAAATCCCACTCTCCTAGCAGAAGCTAATCATAACCAGCTCTGAACCCGATAACAGGGCCACCATAAGTCAGAATCAACTTGAAGGCACAATGCCAACACAGCATCCATGGAATACAGTGAGCTGAAGATTCACTAAGTAAATGCTTCTTAATCTATGTGTCTGCCCAATATGGGGTCCCCGTAACTAAATGTTGGCGCCATGAACAATTTATGTATCTTACCACTCTAGTGGTTGTTCTAAACATTTACAAGAACCAGAAACAACATGGAGCAAATGCTTCAGCTGTACTTCATAAAAAAGGAAAATCAACCTGCCTAGTTTAACAAGAATTTACCTATGCAGGGAGGGAAAGGTTAATACCATCTATTTCGGGACGAAGGAAGGATATGGACTGCATGTATGTATGTGAACAGACCATGATGGAAACAACAGGGAGGTGAGGCACATGGCCCACTCTGCAACTTGGAATCTTTTGGGTTTAAGGCATGAATTCCCAATTGTGAGTCTCTAATTCGCGAGAAAAATGGAGAGCCAACAGAGTATATTCTACCTCTGGAGGCTGCAAATCAAATATTTAAGAAAGGGTAAAATTATACGTATATCAAAGAATTGTTTAAAATAAAATTCCCTATGATTAACTATTAGGAAATATTTTATTTGTATACATATTTTATAGATATATATACCCAGAGTTGCATAAAAAATATCAAATGAAAAGAGGTTGTGAGTGGAAAAAGCTAAAGAGGCCCTGCACTGAATAACTGAAGTGCCAGAAACCCTGAATCTAAAGCGAGACTTTAGAAAACAAGCCTACAGTTTGACTATAGACAAGAAGCTTGGGACCCCACTGCTGTCATGTTGCTCTCCAAATTTACTGCTCAAACCCTATTTTCCCTCCCCCTCAACACATAAAATCTCTGGAAATAATCTTCCCTATACTGCAATTAAACTGATTAAAAAGACTTCAGTACCAATTACAGGGCCTTTTAAAATTGGGGGACAAGGAAATTTTCTCTCTTATCTCTGGTCAGTTTGTAGTTAAGAGGGTGCCTGAGGATAACGGGGGGGGGGGGGGGGGGGGGGGGGGGGGGGGGGGGGGGGGGTGATGGAATAGGAGAATGTGGGAGCTAAGGCGATAATCTCCCTGAGATCAGTCTAAAGCAGTGGTTCTCAATCTGTGGTCCCCAGATGTTTTGGCCTTCAACTTCCAGAAATCCTAACAACAGGTAACTGGCTGAGATTTCTGGGAGTTGTTGGCCAAAACACCTGGGGACCCACAAATTAAGAACCACTGGTCTAAAGGAACCCACAGTTAGGGAACCCAAATTCCATGTACTGCAAAAACCAAAGTTATGTGCCACACATAAGACTGGATAAATCCAAATGCAATTACTTAAATTATGTAACTATCACACTTGAAGGATTGCAAACTAAGATAAAATACAGACAAGGAAAATGTCTAATGAAGCAAGAAGAAACCAGTGGGTGATGGGAATAAAACAGCGTGATTCAAGTAGAACAGCCTTCTCTCCCTTAGTCACTGCAATTTAAAATCCAGTTTCTTGAATGATTGCACTTTCCACATGTACTACTGACCCAGTTTTAAGCTTTGTTTCACAACCATGCCAGCTATTATTTAAATTTTATATTTAAAAGCAACCAAAATTATAAAAAACAAAAATACACTTTAACAGTAAAAAATTCTACACAGCACAGCATGCATAACACAGAAGGGCCTTTCTAACCCTAGCAAAGCTGGGGGAGTTAGTCTACCTCCCCTGCAGGAGAGGCGGGCGAAGGTAGTGCCCTCCTCTTCATTTCATTCTGAAAAAGCGACACAGCCTCCCTCCCATTGACAACTGAAGTGGTCGCCCTGGGGGGGGGGGGGGTTGGGTAGAAATTCCCCCTTTCTTTTGGGGGGGGGGTCACCTGCCCTATACTGTTCTAGCACGACAAATTGGGAGGTAGAGGCTAATAAATAGGCATACCCGGAAACAACAAGGGAACTGAATTCGGTGCACAACTAAGGCGCCCGTTTTGTGTAGGCCAGGAGTTGTAACCTTCCTCTATGTTGTAAATAAAGGAGGGGAAGGCGAAAGCAAATAGCCTAAGAACTGGAAATATGACACTAATAATTCTGGGGGCAGAATTACCCTCACCAAGTTCATTGAAAAGTTCAGTATCAAGTTTATGGTCAAGTTTATTATGCATTCCAGACCCACATTTGGGGGGAAATTATAGATTTTAATTAGGTAACATTAATGAAAGAGCCCCCAGTGGTGCAGTGGGTTAAAGCACTGAGCTGCTGAGCTTGTTGATCGAAAGGTCGCAGGTTCGATTCCGGGGAGCGGTGTGAGCTTCCGCTGTCAGCCCTAGCTTCTGCCAACCTAGCAGTTCGAAAACATACAAATGTGAGTAGATCAATAGGTACCGCTCCGGCGGGAAGGTAACAGTGCTCCATGCAATCATGCCGGCCTTGGAGGTGTCTACGGACAACACTGGCTCTTCGGCTTAGAAATGGAGATGAGCACCACACCCCAGAGTCAGACATGACTGGACTTAATGTCAGGGGACTACCTTTACCTTACATTAATAAAAGTTGCCCTTAGTTAACCCATTTACATATGTTGCCTCTTCACTTGCAGGGGTTGTGTGGCAAATTCAAATGCATTCAGGAGCCCATGAGTAATTGCCAAATATTCTATAGGACAAGGTGGAGAAGCTATGGCTCTCCAGGTAATGCTGTACTCCAACTCGGTTAGCCCCAAGCTTCATGGCCAAAGGATGGCATAAGTTCCCCATCACACTTATAATATGTTCTACCCATTCAATGCCTTTTAAGTAGCTTTCTTCCTTTCAGTGCTATCAATATGACAGCAATTAGCAAAGATATATCCAACCCTACAGATCTGGAGGCAGGAGAGAGTATAATATTTCTATTAAGAAGCTGCATTTGCATTCCCATTGCCTAAAGTGGGCATGGGAAAGATGCAGTCCTCTAATAGTTGTTAAGACTGCAACTCCTACCAATTTTAGTCAATGTAGTAAAGGACCATGAACTGCAGTCAAAGGTATGACCATTAGATCAGGGCTAAGGATAATGGAGAACTCTAATGGTAATTCTTTTATCTGCAGGAATGCAGAAGCAAACCATGAAGGAAACACATGCAAGCAGCCATCACAAAGGCCGAGGTCTACAATTGCCAGCTGGGCAGAATCTTATGCATTTGACTTGAACCAATACCAACATGAAAGGAGCCAGAAAATCAGAAAGTTGCAACCAAGTTATTCTACTCTCCATATGTATGTGTGCATGATGTCACAGCACATACATATGCATGGCATAAGTGTGTAGGGCTATTACATCAGTATTAGTATAGCATGTAAAGTGTAATGTGCATGCTGTGGGAACTTCTTGCTGCAGATATAAATGCACACACAGCCACACCTGCTGCTGTGACATACAGATTTATGCTTTGCTGCTGTATTAGAGAACCATAAAAATGGTTGGCATCATTTAGCAAGATTCACTATGCAAGACTGTGTGGGTGTTAGTCACAGACAAGTTTAGCCTCCAGTACTAATTCTTCTGGTATTTGAATTTTTTAATACCATTTGTCAACATTCATTCTCTAATATATGGATGAGCAACTATAGCAGGTTTGGAAAACAATTTTCTGCCCCAGAGATTTTCCAAGGACCGCACCGACTGCCCACTATCTATCTATCTATCTATCTCTCTCTCTCTCTCTCTCTCTCTCTCTCTGTCTGTCTGTATAAAATGTTCTCTATAGAAAACCTACTTGAAAGAAAATAGCTATAAATGAATGTTTATAGTAGAGGCAATGATGTTTCATTTTTAACCAGAAAAGGGTTAGTCTAGAGTCTGGAAGTTTAGAGGGTTTCAGAAACAGCAAGTTAGTCAAATGAGGGCACACTATGCCCACTCCACTCTCATACAATGTGAACCATTTCCCAATCCCCAAATGTTTTGCTGCCATCTTGCCACAGATAAGATCATAAGCTGCAAAGGAACTGGAACATAAAGGGTGAAGGAAAAAAAATGAAATTTCAAAAATACTTTGTCCAGTTTCTTTTAATATATATATACATAGGAATGGACAACTTCAGTGGATGTGAGACAATTTTCTGCTTTTACTTCCCCAGTACCATGCAAACAGCTTAAAAATGTACAACATATTCTGAAATTTCTGGACGTCATCTTCTGTTTTTGAAAATTGGGGGACAATTCATCCATTTTTTTAAAAAAAGGAGAAACAATTACCCTTATTAAAAGAGTGGTGTTGAGACACACAAATGGCTCAAGACACTACTTCTTTAGGTATAGCAAGCTCTGCACATGCTCAAAGTAACTCAGCCCTAACATCCTAAATGTTTATAAAGCATATGTCGAGGAATGATGGTGCCTCTAAGTCAAGTACATTTGCTATGCTGAAGGGCAGCCTCCATGAAATCCAGCAAATTTATTCTGGGAACAAATAGGATCTTCAAGGAGGCAATCATTTCTATAATTTATGCAATTCTTGTTTGTTTGCTTTCTCTTATTTTAATAAATACATGCTTATCTGGTGAATCAACATTGCTCAAGGCTTCTGTAGGTTGCTAAACTGGGAAATTTGCACAAACAATAACCCAACAAGATGTTAACAATATTTTTGTATGCTTGGCATTAATACACAGTATAACAGTAGAGTTTCAAA